GGAATTATCAAAATATATCTACCAGTGGGAGACTCCAGTACTAATATGACTTTGCGTTCGCACACACTTTGTTTTTATATATTACAAGTATTATTGGGTAGCGCAATTGGATGTAATAAAAAATGGATTCTATAATCTTTCATTATATGCATTCAAGCCAGAGCCAATGGAATTAATCAGGCTCGATCTATTGACAAATAGATGAAGGTTCATTTCTTTTAGGCTGTGGAGGTCCACTAGTTTCTCTTGGTCAGACCAAATTAGTGGATTGAGGATGTAAGGGTGCAGCTGGAATTGAGATGACGTAAGCGCGCTCAATCAGGTCAGGGCTAATCCGAGCTTGACTACGTACGAGTCAATTTCCCGAGCACAAACCCAGGCGTGTCGGCACCTAAAAACAGTTTCATCGATGTCGGCTGGATTCTGCAATTACAAACGTGCAGAACACCCATTCGGTGGATGCAGGTTTGTATGGTAGAAAGGGCATATCCCCTTTCGTTCAAGCACGGGGTTCTGTCAATTAAACTTTTTGTAGTATACGCAAGACTTCTTATGCAACTTTATTGCTCAGAGCCTCAGATGCATTCGTCTAGATTTAGCCTGTTGCACTTGTTTAAGTATACCCATTTCAGCATTTAAGCTGTCTGAACGAGTAATCCGAGCCAAGTATCATTTGGATCAAACCGGAGCTCGAAAATCAAACAGCTCAAAACATCTGAGCTACGAACTAGAATGTCGACCATGTGAGCTCGGTTAACAAGTTAAAACTTGAACCGGCTCGCATGCCGACTTGGACTCTTTTGTACTTTTAGTGGTGACTCACTTCTCTAATATTTAATGTTTTCTCATGTGATTGTGGATTCCATATTACTAACTATTGAGAGTTTCCCTTCTCCATAATTGTATTCGGTTTTGGAATTCAAAAAGATCACATCGTTGTCTTGTTTTAGTAATCTCGTGTCTCCCGCTCTTCTTTTTTATCTGTATTTAATGGGTCTTCTTGATGTAGAACAGCTTAGCTGAATAGTAAGCTTATAGGACTAGGCCTACCATTCCTTGGCTTAGAAGTTCTATTTGCACATAAAATAGTGTGTCTATGTAAGGTTTGAGGTCTCATTGATGATATAAACTCTTTGAAGCCTGAGCTTGCCTTTCTTCTTCTTCCTGGATTGGGAAATCGAAATCCTAGTCTTGCATGGTTCGAGTTTCTCGAACGATGACCATACATCGAAGGTGGGATATCAAGAGCTGGAGCTTTGCGACAGATACGTATGGACTGCAGTAAGAAGGCGGCTGTCGTACGACATTCGAAGCCGCAAAACCAGAGATTAGCTGGTCGTACGACGACGACGTTAGAAGGTTTGGTGGAGCTGCCGACTGATGCTCTAGCCGGTATCGCCTTTCTATCAAGCTCATCGAAGAAGTCGCTTCGTATCATGGTTAGATATAAACCTTGATCGGATTTGCGAAACCCTTCGGTCAATAAGGAGGATGAGGATGTCTTCGGCAACCATACCGAGGCATTCTTCTTCTTCGATCCCCTCCTCCGCTTCACGCAAACGCCATCCGTCCTGTCATACTCCCACGGTCGTTGATGATTACGCTCCGCTCGAACTCCCGCTCCGATGGCGCGATCCACCGCCGGATTACCCTCCACTCCAGCTCCCTCTCCGTTGGCGTGATCCGCCACCAAGATACCCGCCGCTCGATCGTCCGATGCGATGGCCAGATCCTTCGCCCGATCGCGCAGTTCGCAACCACCCCGGGTCTGTCTTCAGCGATTCGTATCCGTTCCAGCATCATCCGCCTCCCGCGGACATGAATCTTCGCACACCGCCAGCGAGCTCAACTCAGCTTCCGCCTCATGATTCGCCTGCATTTTCAATGCTCCAGCAAAATGCAACCCTAGAGCTTACCCAGCAATCTCACCCTCCACATAATTCTGGCGACGAGCACGAACCCGTGCCTGGGGACTCCGCAGGCGAGCTTGCGCTCGCCGGTCCGACAGCCGGCCTACTCCATTCGTCGATGCCGGCAGCAGCGACGGTTGAGGCCGAAGTTTCTTCAGACGTTCATGTCATTCCCGCCCAGGTGAGTATCTACTCAACACAGGTTCACCGCATCACTGTCGATTCCGACACCGTCAGTTTCGGTTTCTGCGTCAAACAAGAAATTTCGCCTAACACTCATCCTCAGTTTAGTAGAGTAATTAACGAATTGAATGAGCATTCAATTATGCTTCGGTTTCTTAGTGACGGTGGGAGTTTGTCTTCAAGGCCCGTTGATGAGGAAGAAGCCGATGTAGATAGTGAGGAAAAACTTATGCTAAAGCCTTTGCATTGGGATCAAGTCAAGGAAAGCTTTAATCAGGCCATGGTTTTGGTCAAGCCGAAATCTAGTTCATTCCAGATGATTGAAGCTTTGTTTGTGAACAATTCGACTGCTCCTCTTCCAAAAGAACAGAGCAGGAGGGTGATCCTTCCTTCATGGAAGCAAGAAGATAGAGTGCTAGATCCAAAGAAGTTGCAGAACATTGCGACACTCTTACGAGCTTTGAATGATACAAGAAAGGAAGTATCTGAAACTTTGTTGCATGAAAATACTAACAAGCTAGCAGCTGGGTTTTTTGAAACCTTAGTCCAGATGGCTCACAAGAAGGAAGTACAATTCAAGTTTAGGAACTTCAATGGCGATATATCAAAAATCAAGCTTCATAGCATTGATATTGTTTTGACTAACTTCGAAGTCAATCAGGATGATGGATATTTATGCAACTCCTTGATTGGTTTGCATGTTAGGTGTAAAGATATTGTCTATGCTCGTAAGATGTTTGATGAATTGCGTGAAAGAGATGTGGTCTCTTGGATCAATATGATCATTGGTTATATTCAGAATGGAGACGTCTTAGGCTCCTTTAGACTGTTCCACGAGATAAGAACTTCTGGCATTGAGCTCAATTTAGTGACGTTGGTTGTTGTGATTCGAGCATTTGAAGTTAAAGAAATTGTAGATGGAATGAAGACAGGTAGCAGATTGTTAAGGGAGAAGGTGTCATTGGTTTTATCTGCAAAGTTTTCATGCCATTCTCATAAGTTGGCGAGGCAGTGGTTAAGAAAGCCATCAAATGAGCGTCCTGGAACTAATTTGTGTAGGAAGATTTCTCTTCTAGCTATAGTGGAGCAAGATGGTAAGGAAAAAGCAAATCTATTGCAAGATGCGTATGAAGATGAAATGACAGAGGAATTTGATCCTAAATTGTGGATTTGTGTATCCAAAAACTTTGATGTGAAAAGCCATTGGAGCCAGCATGTCCCTGAAGCAGAGTGGAATGCAAAATTTGTTGAATATGAGAAGAAGTACACAGCAGAGCTGAAAGCCATCATTTCTGGAGCACTTCCTGCAGGATGGGAGAAAGCTTTGCCGACTTATACTCCGGAGAGCTACACAGATGTTACTCGGAACCTCTTTCAGCAATGCATTAATCCCCTTGCATCTGCCCTCCCAGATTTCCTTGAAGGAATTGATGATCTTGCTTCTTACAACATGATATTATTGAAAAGTTTTGTGGACTTCCAAAAGACCACTCCAGAGGAGAGAAATATAGAGAACAAAATTTTCGATCCAGGAATCTAATTTTCTGCAACTACCTCCCTTCCAATAATGCGTCTCGGCAGAGTCGAGCTCTTTTGACACAAGGGGAGAATGATGTAGGAACATCTTAGCTAATAGTAAGCTTAAGGACTAGCCTACCATTCCTTGGTCTAGATAGTTCTATTTTGCACTATAAATAGTGGCTAATGTAAGGTTTTGAGCTCATTGAATGATATTACACTCTTGAAGCCTTTGAGCTTGCCTTTCTTCTTCTTCCCTGGATTGGGAAATCGAAATCCTTCTTGCAGGTCGAGTCTTCCGACGATCCACTACATCACAAATTAAGGAAATAAATCCTAAAATGTGGTTCAAGTCATCCAAATGAACATCAATGAGTAACTAAAAGGACTTGTGCTAAACTAGAAAAATTCCTTCATTTCACACGCAAGCAACATAGAACTTCTAATGTTCATAACAATTAACTCGTAGGCTTGTGAAAAGAACTTGAAGGGCACCGACAAAAAGACTCTTGATGAATACACTAGCTTGCTAAAAGAAAAGTGTATGTGGAATGAATACACCCTATCCACAATTATCTTTGTTAACTTGCAAACCAATACATGAGTCGCCAACGAATAACAACAATAGACATGGTGCAAGTGTAGCGATTTTCCTATGGGTATATCCAAGGAGATTGTAGTGAAAGTACGAGCAAAGAAATTTTAATGCAATAACCCACTCGCAGTTGAGAATTAAAGATCTACAATCAATTTCAACTAACTTGCAGACAAATACGGCATTTTTCCTACAAGCAATGACGACTGAAATGCAGGGAAGGTGGCTATCAGTCGACAAGACATGTAAGAAGTTGTAGGGAACATGGTTCGCTTGTACCTAAAGCTAGTTTACGAGCAAGCTCATTAATCCACCCACAAGTAATGGCAATGGACATCCAATGATTACAAAGACGCCTTCACAGTTAACATCAATTAAGTATCTAGCAAATGCATAAGCTCCACACAACTCTCCTTGGCCTATTGGTTGAGAGCTTAGGCTTCCAACTAAGAGGTCCAAGGTTCGAGTTCATGTGTATGCGTTGTGTGTGTGAGTTTGCCTTAAATGGCCTAAATGTCCAAAAAAAAAAAAAAATGCATAAGCTCCCTGCAGGTGAAGGAAGTCGATGCGCGACAAATGCAAGGAGTTGCCCGAGATAAAGCACAGTTTTCATGCAAAACGCAAGAACCATATGCATATGGCATTCCAACAGGTAAATTTCCCGTAAAAATACAACAGATTTTTCACTATATGTAGTGTCAAGCAATCCACTGAAGTAGCATCTCAAAACACAATACAAACAAGGACAAAGAACTCAGAACTCTCTCAAACTACAAACAATGTAAGCAGAATACCTCTTTAAATGACCTTAAATAATAGTCCAGCAGCTTTCTATCCCCTAATTGCTTGGCGACCACCGCCCCTAGCGCACAAACGCCTGCCCTCCCACATATAAAAGTCACATGCCTGCCCCAAAACCACTATCATCAAACAAAGCGCAATAACTCGAATAAATCAAAAGGAATAACGCAGGTTACCGCGAACCACGGGAAGCAGAGTCACAAGCCTTAACGATATCACGGCAGAGATCGAGATCACTGCGACTGTTAGTCACCCGATACTTCTTCAACAGCAGGAACGCCGTTCCGAGCGCGCCGGTATACAGAGTAGGGTCCTTCGCGTGACTTGCGTAACGAATACCGGTCTCCTTAACCACCTGGAAGAAAAAAATGAAGAAGGCATGGGATCCAATAGCTGGGTTTTGCCCATAAGATATCTGTAAAAGTGCCCCACAGAAAGCAAGAGAAAGGTAACCGTTTCGCTGAGATCAAGACCGGCACGCAGTAGTCTCTCGGCGGCTTTCGGGTAGGGAAGCGAGAGGAGCTTGTGAAGGGTGGAATCGCTAGCAGTGATCTCCGTCTCCTGGACGAAGTCGGGCATATCGTTCGGGAAGAATCGGTCCGCCATTTTCTCTCTCTCTCTCTCTCTCTCTCTCTCAGTAGAAGTGTCGATCAAATCGGCAGGAGGTCAAGGGAGCTTACCAGCCCATAAGGCCACAACGCCATTAACAGCTGAAGGATCATCTTACCCGCAGCCAGCTGTCCGGACACTTAGGGGCTGTTTGGTAGAATTTAGGGTTTCATTTAATTAGGATTTCATAAATTCTCTAAGGTGATTTTCAATTTTTTTGGGACATTTAGGCCATTTAAGGCAAACTCACACACAACGCAAACACAAAGACTCGAATCCAAGACCTCTTAGTTGGAAGCCTAAGCTCTCAACCAACAAAACAATGTGAGCTGTGTACTGTCCGGACATTTAGTGTATATAAATATAATGTGTATATATATTAAATTTTATATGTATTATATATAAATAATATATACACTTATTATTAGGATGATTTTTTCAGTCCGAAATCTATACAAAATAATTTCTCCCAGCAGTAGAGGCTATGAAATCGTATAAAATTGTCTTGCAAAATAATATAGACTAAATTTAAATATCAAAATACTGGTCTCATAACAGCTCTCTAAATGAACAAAACCTTTTGCAAGGAATCTCAATTTCTTAAAAATTCTTTTATTAAAACTTTATGAGAAATTATCTATAGAGGAAATTGTTTAAAAGCAGTGTTGATCGTCATTTGGTTAGGGAAATTGAACTCTATCATTATAGAACCGCAGTCAATATATGTTGCTGATTGAAAAACACCAAACTTTTTATCTTTTTCAGGCCAAGTCAATGGTCGAAAATTTTTCAAAGGCCAAATAAATGAACTAATCAAACGCAATGATTCAAGATTACTTGTCTCAGCATATTTAACTTTATGTTTTTATCACAATAAGTTGAATTTACACTCGATGGGGCATTTTAAGAAATTTATAGTACTCATCCCATCAGGTTTAACTGAGTGTGGTTAAAAATCCTCCAATTCCTCTCTCATGCAGTACGACTCTTTAAATGAAATAAAAAATAACTCTGAGACCCTATACCTATAGAGTTGGTTGTTGATATGCCCGGCAAAGGATTAGTTACGACTTCATGCACTTCCTTGATAGCAATAGATTCCCTCATTCCAAATATATATTTATATTTATCGAACTCTTTATTAAGCTATATCTACAAAGTTTATCTCCTTCCTTTTTTACATAAATGTTCTAACATTATATTAACTTACCAGTTTATATTCTTCCTGTTATTTTGTACATTAATTGTACATATTCATCTAAACCAGCTCAAAATAAGAATTTTAAATTTTGCCACACGCCTAGGTGCATAATTTTATTCTAAAACACTTAAATCTATTGTTACTAATTTTTTTATTATCCAATATTTTTTTCAAGTAATTTGATAAAGCCAACCTAATAATAGTTTTATAAACAAATATAAATAAAACAATGATTATATTAAAAGAATATTTAAAATGACATCCGTTTAAAAAACATTTATGAAAATATTTTTAGTTGATATGATTTTGAATATTACTCAAAAAACAATGCAAAACATACTCTTGAAAACCATTTTTTAGTAAAGTCGAGCAACTCCAATCAAAGCATTCTATAAAGCAAGGACATGAACCATAATAAAGCTTTAGAAGGGACTAATTATTGCTTAATGCTGCTCTACAAAACCAATAAAGGGCAATAAAAGAATACAATAACCATTCTCACGGAGATAATAAAAAGAGATGTTGAAGGAAATGCCTGGAATACAATTTACCTCATACTTCCTACAACAGACTTTTTTTCTCAAAATAAAGGCAATCAATTAAAGAATCAGTGTATCCTGTTGAAGTCCAGAAGTACAAATTAACTAATGGTATGTAATACTGAAGGTTTGAGGACATCAAAGAATCAGTATCTATTGTGAGAGTTATACCGGAATCAATCATTGGGCCTGCCTGAAAGTTCAAACCTGCAAATATGCATGTGAAATTTGGATAAGGTAAATCACTAAATAAGAAGAGCTTTTGAACTTAGTAAAATGAAAAACGAGCGATCGCTGATCCTGAAAATGACCACAGGAGTTTCAGTAACGGTCCCATCCTCGCAAATTAACGAGCCTGAGATGCAAGGATGGATTGCATAAGGAGAAATTAATAGGTGCAGACTACATAAAGTAACTCTAAGGCTTCGTTTAGAACGACTTTTTTATTGCTTCTTCAAGCAGTTTTTTAGTATAAATTTTTTAATTTTTTATACTAAAAAGCTGCTTCACGAAACAATAAAAAAGCCGTCCCAAACACAGCCTAAGTAAATCTGTGAATACAAACTCACTATATACTTGATATGTACTGCTTTGTACTCCAATCATATGGAGTGCTAAGTAGACAGGGAGCATATAATTGTTTACTCAACTTTTTTTACACAGAGTTACATACGTAATCAATACCTGATAATTTCTCCTTCATAAGTGGGGTTGAGCGAGTACCTTTATTTTTCCTATATCATGTATATCTTACACATGCCAAAAAACCCAGCTTGTGAAACGCAAGCCGTGTAAGTTAAATGTTCCCTTAATTAACAATAAGCAAATATAACAGGAAAACTATCACGCTTTTTTTTAGGGGACATGTAAATCAATTAAGATAAATTCATACACACATACACAAAAGACTCAAATCCAGGACTTCTTAGTTGGTAGCCAAAGTTTCAAATCAACAGACCAAGTGAGTTGCGTACGCAAAATAAATTAGAAAAAAATACAAATTCCTTGTTCATCTGATTCAGGAATGCTACTAATAGGAAACACAGCAAAATTCAATTTTTTTGGCTGAAATTGAATTTCAACACCTCAAAAACAATCTTCAAGATGAATTTAAGAGAGATAATGAAAAAAAAAAACTCTTGCAAGTGATGAAGCAGAGAAGAAAAACCACAAGATACAATTGATCCTCAATTTGAGAGGAGGATCTATCTCTCCCTAATCTCTAGATGCTGATAGAGCCCAAGAACGCCAAGCACTAACTGAAATCAACACAATCTCCAGATAATCTTAAGCATACAAAATAATCTCCCCAAAAGACTAAACAGCCATCCTAATTCAAAATTTCACTCCTAAACACCCCCTCCTCTCTCTACTTAGGCTGTGGACCCCAACCCAAGGGGGAAGGAATCCATCTTGGGCGGAACAGCAAGCTTCTGCCTGCTGTAAGTAATGAGCCGGCCCCTGTGTTGGGATGGCTAGACCGGTCCCTCCTGGACCGGTCTATTAATATCCCACTCCCAAAGAATCACCTTGTCCTCAAGGTGAAAATATGGGAATTTATGTTGCATCCTCTCATACGACTCTCATGTAGCGTCATAATCAGGAATGTTCATTTGATTAACACTTTGATCCCTCCCTCTCCTTGGAGTACCCCTTGTAGCTCTAGTGGTTACAATAGCACTTCCAAATCTTCAGTTAGCATGGCCGGCAATTCGGAACTAGCTGTGTGATCCCCAATAGCTCTCCTCAACTGTGATACATGGAATACTATATGTATGGTAGCGATCGGATATAACCTCAAATGATAAACTACTGTCCCGATATTCTCTAACATCTCATAAGGGTCAAAATATATCAGAGCCAGTTTCGCGTTCCTCCTGTTAGCTACCGTTCTCTGTCTGTAAGGTCGAAGCTTCAGAAACACTTTTTCACAAACTTCAAACTGGATGCTTTCTTATGCCCATCAGCCCATTTCCTCATAATTTGTTGAGACCTCAACATATGCCTTCTCAATTTTTTCAACTCTTTGTCCCTCTCCTCCAAGTATTCTTCTACTGAAGAAACTGGAGTGTTATTCTACCCAAAATGCATCAAATAAGGTAGGTCTTGTTCATACAACACTTTGAATGGGGTCAAATAGGAAGCGAAATGATACAAAGTATTGTACCAAATTTCTGCCCATGCTAGTCACTGGGTCCAAAGCCTATGTGTCTCCGACACAAAGCATTGTAGGTGTATCTCCAGCCTGCTATTTACCACCTCCGTCTACCCATCTGTCTGAGGGTGGCAAACTATACTCCTCTTTAGCTCTGTTTAAAATTGCGCAATAAGAGGCGCGCCTCTGCGCAATTCGTCCAAAAACCGCCTCGAAGCATACGCAATTCCATCCCTGGCAGAGGCGTACGCCTCACATGGACTGAGGCGCGCCTCAGAGGCGCAATTGCGCAATTCTTAGTGAGGCGTACGCCTCATGGGAATGGACCCACCCACTTAAAATGAATGTTTTTTCTCCTTAAACCCGCACGACAGCAGCTCCTCCTGAATTTTTCCTACCCGCACGGCTCCAGTTCGCGAAACAGAGAGCTCCCACACGCTTTTGGTCACGACCCAACTCGACCGGGACGGATCCCGCCCGCACCGGGCCGCGACCAGCCAAACAAACAGACCAGGATCTGGCTTTGGAATTTGTTTCGGAACTGATTCTTCCAAATATTTCAACTCAAAAACAGACGCACAGAGCTACTATGAAACATCAAATGCAGCGGAACAAAACATCTATATTTTTCTTTCTTTTCCTCAAAACAATCATCTACAA